AAAGTCATGAAGATATTTTCCTTTTAAAAGCCTTATGTGGGCCGGCCCAGTGGCGCACTCAGTAGAGTGTGGTGCGGTGGCGCTCCCGCCGAGGGTTCGGATCCCATGTAGAGACCGGTCCGCTCACTGGCTGAGCGCGGTGCGGGCGCGACACCGAGGGTTGCGATCCCATTGCCGGTCACGAAAAAAAGACAAAAAAAGAAAAAAAAAAAAAGCCTTATATTTTTCTTTTGCTTTTGACTACAGTGTTTGGTAGGGATTGAGGTTCATTTCGTCCATGTAGATACCCATTTATTCCAGCACCATGTGTTGAACAGACTTTGCTTTTCTCTCTGGATTCCTTTATTTCTTGCATCAAAAATCAGATGACCACACAAGTGAAAAATCTATTTTTGGAGTCTCTATTTCATTCCATTGTTCTATTTGCTATCTTATGACCTTATGCCAAGTCAGCACTGTCTGTAGCTTTGTAGTAAGTTTTTAAGTTCTCCAACACTGTTTTGTTTTTTGCTTTTTTCATGATTGCTTTGGATATTCTATGATAGTTGCACTAGCTACATAATTCTGAGAAAATAACCCAACTACACTAAATACTTCCTAGGTAAAATATGGATAATTAGAGTGCCCACTTCTCAGTATTAAAGAGATGATTAAGAGATAATTCATGCAAAATTGTAAGTGCACAGTAAGTTTCCAGAATTAACATTAGCTTTTATTATATCATTACATTTTATGGCTACTTAGTAACAGAGAAGGGCAAATCTAATGATGTTTTGCTGTGGCTACAATATTCTACTTTTAATCTGCTTTATAACTATGATTTTATTTATTAGGTAACTGAAGCCCCAGAGAGTTTGCATGGATTTAAAACTCGTGTTTTAAAGTAGAACTCATGTCTAGCTTCTTATTCAGTGTCCTGTGTTTAATTCTCTCATCAGGTTGATGTAACTCTTGCACATAGTAATTAAGTTTCAGTGAGCTTATACCTCGATTCCCAAACTGCTTCTTGGTAATAATGTGCATGCCATTATAGTATGCAGCCACACTTTTGATACAGGGAACACATTTCTGTTATTCTGCGATTTAAACCCAGCTTCTAGTAATGTTCTGGAAAAATATTATTTATACAATAGTCAATGAAACATATTGTTACACAATCATCAACCCATTTTGATAAGCTGTCATATCTAGTAATATGTGATGCCTACTTTTATTTCAAATCTTTTAACTTTGTATCTATTTGTTCTACAGTGTTCCTAGGATAGATAATATTATAATCACAACTACCTACTTCCAACACTTTTTAAAAGTGTGATGAAAAAGCTTGTGCTTAAATGCAAAGATTACCTTTTTATTGTCAAAATGTATGTACTTTAACATTTTTGGAATTTAGATGGAGGTGTAGGGAAAAATTTGCACACCATTTGTGGAAAAATATTTTTTCCCCTATTTAACATACAATAGAGTATGGACAATATACAGCTCCAGATGGCTTATGTGTATATATGTAAGTGTAGATATACATACAATTACAGATATTGATATTGAATGATTCAGATATAATGTGCATATCTGTAAGTGATCATAATGAAAGTTTGCTATTCACAATGATGTCAATTTGAAGTTTTTTTAGGTCTGCATGTATATTCTAGTCCTGTTATGATTTTTTTGCCAACAAAAATTAGCTTATTTGCTTATGCTAGTCAGGAAAGCTTACAAAAATATTTCATAAGCTTGTTTTAATTTTCATGTTCATAAGAAATATTTTACAACTGCAAATATGTTCATTTGAAAATGGAATAAGTAATTCTCCAAATATTCTAATAAAGCATACTCTCTAACTGAACACTCTTTTCATAATTAATTTTAAATTCCTGGTGTATTACTACTTGCCTGAATATTAGATACACTAAATACTGTTCAAATCAGAAGTACTATTTTTCATAACATTTGTATTGTTTTTAAATAATTACAACATTTAATCTTATCAAGACTAGCAGAGTAGTCTTGGACTGGTGATTAGAGTTGGTTAGAGAGTGGTGCTAATAACACCAAGGTCCAGGGTTCGATCCCTGTATCAGCTACCTGCCAAAAACAAAGGAGGGGGGTTGGGGAAAGACCAGCAAAGTATATTGTTGAGATCTGTTTAATTTGAAGTCTTAATCTCTTCAGCATTTGAGGAATTTGGCAATATTGTAAAATTGCTACCACCTTGCTAATGTTACAGGTATCACATGAGACTTGGTCATTGTAACCTTGTGCATCCAAGGTTCTCAGTCTTACCTCCACTCAGTCTTCATTCACCATAGGTCAATACTCTTTCTCTCTCCTTTGAGGCTCTTTTGGTCTCTTGCCCTCAGTTACCCTGAGATAGCACTGTCATCCTCACCCTGAAGAATAACACCTAAACAATAAACATCCCACCATCCAGGATTGGGCTTCAGGTAGCAGAAAAAAGTGAACCATTTAAGACCAATTCTGTTGATTTCCTTCCAGATCTCTATCCTGTGAATAAAGAAAACAGTTCTCCAACAGGTGGGGATAAACAACAGATTCTCACTGATCTTTGTTTGCTTCTGATGTTTTTCTTCATGTGCTGAGTCATTTTCATTACACCAAATATCTAGGATTAGTTGTGGGGGTATTTTTTTTGGGGGGGGGGTGTTCTTGTTTGTTTTTTGTCCAACTGAAAATGTCCATAATTTTAGGAAACTCAGAAATCTCTATTAGATTCTCTATCATCCACCACTTGTGGCAAGAGGTGAACTTAGTGAAGGAAAAACAGCAAAGGGTACAAAAAATGAGAAAGGAGAAGAAATTTCATTAATATCTCAAAATACTCTCCTACCACCTACTTATCTTTCTTAATTCTAATAACAATCCTATAAGAAAACATTGTAATTGTCAATTTAGAGATGATAAAATGGAGGCTTCTTGCTGCTGGCTAACATTCCAGGACCCAGGTCTAGACAGCCCTCAATCTTTACTGCCCCTTTCATTAGGGATTCTCTAACTCTGTGTTAGAAAAGCACTGTACTCTCTGGCATTTTGGCAATGGAAATCTGAGGTCTAAAATGAATATAAATATAATAAACACTTTCTGATTAAATAATTAATAAAGATGAAAATGGAAAAACTCAACAACCCAGAAATACTTGATATATTTTAATATTTCAGTACCAAATGTCAAACATGGCACAAACCTTTTGCATATCTAATATGCAAATTTAATGATTAGAAATATGAGTAATAACCCCAACTCATTATTCTCAGAAACAAACTAAACCATATTAATTACTGTATAAAATAAGTATGCTTTTCCTTCAATTTTTAGGTTCACCAAGTTGTGTTTCCTTGAATATTAGATTCATAATCTGTTTTAGAACATTAAATCATTTTTATTAACTTCTCATCTGACTTCTATGTACATGGTTCAATCATATCCAAACTTATATAATCATAATTAATGTTTAGATAATTAACAACAAATGGAAATATTAGTAGCCACAGGTACACTACTCAAGGTAGTGTATGTGTAGGAGTGTTTCAAGGGAAATCAATTAGAAAATGCACATTTTAACATTCAAGTTTTGAAATTTAGATACTGTGTACAAAATGTTAATAGTGGGCTTTACTAAGTAGTAGGATTATGAGTGAATTTTTTTTTCTTTTCGAGTTTCCAAATGTTCTATGAGAAATGTGCTTTTGTTAAACAACAATAAAATGCAAGCATTTCTTAAAAATAGATATATTCAAAACCCGACCCCATCCAGGGATTGTATGAAGATGTGCAAATGGCCTATAGAGAGCAAAGTTTCAAAGTTGCCGTGGTGAGTGAGAAAAAAAAAAAGAAAACATTTGGAAGTGTTGAAATCACTCCTAAATGCTGGCTTTACCTTCAAACTACTTTTAAGCCTTTAAGTTTTACATCAGTACTGAGAGGGAGCTGAACTTCAGTGATCTGTTTCATATGATTCCTTCTGCAAAACAACTCTGGATCAATTGCCTCAAAAGAAACCAGTTGCTCTGGATTGTGTTGACTGTGAACCTGAGGGAACCCTTGTTGCGAAGTCCTGTGATCAAGGGAAACACAGGCCATCGCATCCCTGGGGTAGAGCACGTGTCCAAAAATACCAACTTGTGGACACTACCACTTCTCACTGTGTCCTACTTTCTGTATTCTGTCTTCTTTTGCTCTTTTCTCAAGTTTATCTAGAAGGTAATTTTGAAACTGCATCACAACTCTCTTCTTTTGCAGGTACAACTGTGTAAAACATTTGTTTTCCCTTCCTAATTTATGTAGTCAACCTTTATTCATATTGTACTTAGGTATTACACCCCATTTGATTTTTTTTAATCAGACTAATGTCACTCATTCTGTGGATATTTTGCTGGGTCAGTAGAGGACAGTCGATGTAGGAAATGTCTTATTTCTTTATTTTAATTAATTTCCAGTTTAATGTAATTAATTTAATTAATTCAATGAGCGCTTGGAAATTTTTCAAGTTTACAAAAGTTTTATAATGCACACTAGAAAGTTTACAATATTAACAATTTTCATTAAAGCTCTCATCTTTGCAAGACAAGGATCTTTTATTGAGGAATATGTACATCCTAAATTGTAATAATTTATTTATTAAAACTCCGTCATTAATATTGATGGTATATAAAAGATTTAAATAAGTAAACATCATGACCTACTTTTTATGAGCTTTATAAAGGGAAGCAACATAAAAATCTATTACTAAATCATCATACAAATGAGAGTAAATAATTGATGTGAACAAATGAAGATTTTTAGAAAGAGCCAAAAAATAAATAAGGCAATCAAAAATCTTCCAAATCTCCTTTTGGCTTTGCTTGAAATGGCAAGGACTTTTATTTATGTCTGCCTGTTTGGTTGATTGGTCGGTTGTTGTCAGTAGACTAATGTTGTCTTTAGTTCATTACAATTTTTCTCTTTTCTGTTAATATTTTGTTTTGTTTTGTTTTCTCCTTAGGCTTGAATCACCCACCAGATCCTTGATAATGGAAGCTCCTCGTGGGGTCCAGGTGAGCGCTGCTGCAGGGGACTTCAAGGCCACCTGCAGGAAAGAGCTCCATTTGCAGTCTACAGAGGGGGAGGTGAGTCCCAGAGGGATAGAGACTGGCCCTTCACAGCTGAGGCTGCTCCTTCTTAAATTATATATGCTTAGGGTTCCAGGTCAAACATAAAGGACTCTTTCATGAGAAAATTTGAATTATGAAAATATTAGTAATTCTTGAATATAAAATTTGGCAAACCTAATGTAACTTCCATAAGTTAAAGCTCCATTTGTTTTTTACTAAAAGATATTCATTTACAAGTTAATTGCAAGTGGGGCTTCTAAATCCCTGTAGTTTCGAAACTGGCAGATATACATTTTATTGTGTTTGTGGATTCATGTTTTTGTCAATGCTGGAAGTTCCTCAGCATCATCGCTTGACATATTCCCTGTCACCCATTTTCTCTATGGTCTTTTCCTGAAACTGAAGAAATGTTATACATTTTCATTCTTTTACTCTCCAGATCTCTCAGTCTCTCCCTCCTAGTTTCTATTTTTTAGATCTCCCTGTGTCTCACTCTGCTTCCTTATTCCAGTCTACATTTCCAGGTCTCTCCTTGGTATCTAGTCTCTTATTTAATTACTACATTGAGCTTTTAATTTTAATGATTATGTTGTTGATATTTAGAATCTCATCCATTCTTTCTCAAATCAGCCTGGACATCTTGGTAGTTGCTATTTTGTTTGTTTGTTTTTAATTCTACCTTAATTATTTAAATCCTTATATGTGATTCATATTCTATTATGCATATTTTTAATACAATTCCCAAAGTCCTTGAAAGTTTCAATCTGTTGTATTGCTGTTTCTACTACTTCATTCCCTTGGTATTTTCTTCTTTTGCATCTTTGCTTATTTATTTCTATCATGAGCTCACAAAGGTCAAGTTGAGAAGAAAGAGAATGAAAGAATAATTTGGGATAGATGCTCTGGAGCATTTCACACCTCTTCAGATGTAATGATAAGGGCATAAATTAACAGAATCAAAAGGAGAGGGTTTTTTTTACTTTTATTTCTCTGTTCTACTCCTATTTATGAACCTTTCTACTTATGTTGTTTTATTCAAAGTATCAGTAGAATCCTTTGATTCAATTGACAGGTTAGCATTTCATTGTCAATTGGTTATTATGCTGTAAATAAATTATAGCCTGTGGTATTCATCTGTAGTTTATTTTTATATTAATAAAATAAAAGTACAAAAAGGCACAGAATTCATATTATAATAAAACAACATGTAATTTTCCTATGAAGTAGTGTGAAATGATTCTCTTTGCTACATTGACTATGCCACACAAAAGCAGATTGGTTATTCACTAACAATATGAAAAGATATAGAGCCCCTACCCTTGGATAGTCTTTCAACTACTTAGTGTCAGAGCAGACATGGGACTGAGGTATCCACAAAAATGGATGAAATTCAGAATGGCACTGTACATAAAATTGTGCACTGCACAAGACTCAGTCATTTTAGACACAGTGTTGCAATGAATTTCAATGTTACCCCTGAAGACAACATAAATCATAATTGTACATAAAACATTTCAAGTGCATGGCAGCATATGCAATGCAGTAAAACATAACATATGTGTATGTTACAAGATCACAGAGGAAGGAGAGAGCGATTTTTTTTTTTAAATCGACTATGATTTTCTGAGTGTGATAGGCCTGATTTCAACAGGTAATAATGGGATAAATGGATTGTTTGTGGAGAGAAGCCAGTGTACTGTGACTTAAAAGCTCAGGCATGTGATGCTAAAGAGCAAACAAATGGATTAGATGGTTTATGGAGAAATATAGAATAGATATATCAGTTTTAGAAGTTAGAAAGTGAACAGCATCATCGTGCCCACCTTTGCAAAGCACAAAGAGATATGGTCAAGCTCATCCACCCTGCACAAACCTGGAGAAGCTGAGGATTGTTGGATTGTTGTGTTGGAAGGAATCAATATATAACAGCTTTATATTTGTTTGTTTGTTTTTTTAACCTCACAACATACTTTTCTATCTCAAGCCAAGAAAATAGCATTTCTCTTTCTCAGGGTCCCATAAGGAATGAATTTATATAAAATCCACCACCTTTTTTAAGTGAAGCTACAGTTTGAATCTCAGAAGCTTATAGAATTAAGCACTGTCATAATAATTAAGTATTAAATATTGCCAGATACTGTCCAAAGTAACCCCTAAATGGATGCAAGAGCTGGAGAACCCAGCAGCAATGGCTATGCTGAAGCAGCCTACAGACCATCAGGCCCAAGTCCTCCAAGGCTTACTCCATTGATGAGGCCTCTGCAGATCATGCTTTCTTTCTAAGGCTTTCGCCCACAAGCTTTACCTGTATAAAAACAGCTGCACTCCAAAGTTATTCAACAAAATACCCCAGTTGAAAGACAATCAGTTGCCTAACTGAAAAAGCCAGAGATGTGGCAGGTGGTAAGCAAGCCCCTGCAACCGCCAGGCTGACCAGTGACACTCCCTTTTTGTGCTTACCAATGAATGCATCATTCACTAAATCTTACAGTCATTTGATCAATCTTACATGAGCCTTCTTCTCCACGTGTCCTTTAGCTTTCCATATTCCACTCCTTATTATCTATATCTCAAGGTTTCTTGGCCAAAACACCAGCTCCTGATGTTTCTTCAAAATGAACTCACCTACAAATCTGTAGACCTAAATCCCACAGTCCCAGAGTTTGCCCCTGTAGAACTTCTGTCATTTTCTAAGCTTGTGGAGGTCTGCTCCCTGGAAGCATGCTAGATCCTAAAAAGAACTGGGGAAAAGAGACTGAGCTATGCAAGCCCACTTCCTCTCTCAAACTCAAACAATAAAAGGAATTATCTCTCTTCTCCTGTGGAGAAGTAAGCAAGCCCAAAGAGTGTAATGATCTGTGTTATGCGTGCTAATGTCCCTCAGCATGGAAATACAGCACCCATATCCCCAAAATGGACAGCCATGCTCTTTTGCTTAATTTTGTGCAGTTCTTACCTTAACATCAGGGAAAAAGTTTCTTAAAATATAAGAACAGAAGTCATTTCTTTCCTTTTGCTTTGCTATAACTTATCCCAGAAGTAAAAATGGAGTAATATATTTCAACAATTGACAACTACAAACAAAAACTTTAATCATGCTTCTAACTTTGAATACTGTTGGTAAATGCAGCTGTTCATTTATTTTATAATTTATTCACTTATTGAACAACTATCTGTTTTATGTGGAAGGTTTATGTGCACAAATACTGTGAAGTTATTAAAAAAGAATTATGATTTTACCTTTAAGGAGGACATGGTTTAATAGAAAAAGTGAGATGTAAACATGACTATATAATAATTCATCAAGTAATCAACTGAAATACTTTTCTCCAGATATTTATAAGTGAAGGTAGAGATTAATTAGAAGGTTGAGAAACAAGAGTGGAAGGGAGATATTTAAAACAAGAAATTGCTACAGGAGAGTCAAATAAGAAAAGTCTTTCCATCTTGGAGCATCAGAGAAAGGTCCATGGAGGAGAAAGCCGATGAAGTGGGCTTTGATGGAAGGGAAAGACACGTCCAATGTGAAGGAAGAGCATTATGTCACTCGGCATGCACTGGCACAATTCTGTGTATTGTTCTATAGCCATGAACCAAAGACAGGCCATACCCTCATGGATCTTACTTGCAAGTAGAAGAAACAAAGAATCAATGAACAAATACAAACAATAAAATCAAGAAATAGCTGAAGAGAGTTATTTCTTTGCTCATTCGAATTCATGATTGAATTCTTCTATCTTTGGAATTTTCCCCATGCATGTCAAAACTGTATGATCACTTTCCCTAAAAGTAGTGAGTCCATAATCTAGAATAAGTGAAATAATTTCTAACATTAGAAGATACAGCAATGTATTAATTTGTTTTCTGTTGCTTGTAACAAAATACCTGAAGTTGGGTAATTTATAAAGAAACAGAATTTATTTCTTACAGTTTAGGAGGCAGGGAAGTCCAAAGTCCAGGAAACACATCTGGTGAGGGCCTTCTTCCAGGTGAGAATCCCTGCAGAGTCCCTTGATGACCAGGGTGTCCCATGGCAAATGGCTGAGCAAGAGAGAGCTAACCTCCTCATTTGCTATCCTTTTAAAGCCATCACCATGCCCATGACCTCACATTAAATCATCAATGAATTACTCCATTCATAATGGTACAGTCTTCACAATCTAATCACCTCTTAAAGGCCCTACCTTTCAATTACTATAATAGGATTTCCTACCCTCTTAACACTGTTACAGTGGGGATTAACTTTCCAGTACGTGATGAATCTCTGGGGGACACATTTAACCCATAGCAGCAAAGTAGGTGTTGAATATATGTAATAGGTTTCATGGAGACTTCAAATCTGATTATATGCAATAATTATCTGTTGTTAATTGTGCTGATTATCAATTTAACATATCCTTTAAACTGTGAGTCAACATGCTTTTATGAGTATTTTAAAAATATGTCAGATCACAATAATTCCTTGAACTTAAGACAAGTGAACAGATATGATGTTGATGGGGGGGCATGGAGAGGGGAGAGGGAAGGAGGGAAAGGGACACAAAAATCAACTACATTGCATATTGATAGATTAAAATAAAAAAAGAAAGGACAAAAAAAGTCAGAGAGTAATTTTTTTTATTAATTGCCCATCTCTTCAGTAATGACATCTCCACTGATATGCTTATTTCTCTGTTAATTCTTTAGACTAGGCATGATTAAGTTAAATTGAGAGACTCGGTCAAAATCATTAATTTTCTGTGATGTTTGAATAACTGGGTTGGCCCCTTATGTAGATCGTACAGCACTGCTTTTCAGGTGGAGGGCTGTGTGTCAGAATGTACCATCTCTCAAAGGAGAAGCATAGCTGCAGAGCTGTTAGGCTATACCCTAGGAATGTAATTTGTTTGTTCAACAAAGCATGGCACCTAAACCAATGGAATTGTTTGTTGTGTCATCTTTCTCATTAGACCATGCTGTAAAGCTCCGTGGAATGTGGAATGCTAAAATGAATTAAAATGCAATTCCTTTTCTCCCTAGATATTTTTAAATGCAGATACAATCCGGCTGGGAAATCTACCAACCGTCTCCTCTTCGTCTCCTTCACCAAGCTCCTCAAATTCTCGACAGACAGTGTATGAACTCTGTGTCTGCCCCAATGGCAAACTGTACCTTTCCCCAGCAGGAGTAGGTTCCACTTGTCAGTCCAGTAGCAACATCTGTTTGTGGAGCTGAAGTGACTGATTTCTCCTCACACCAGAATAGCCTTTTGTTCCTGTCCGTCTGCTTCACAGTTCTGCTCGATTTCCCTTGTGATCAGTCCAGAGTGTCTTCACATGGTCCACGGAGCGACTTCTTCCAGTGTGAGCAGGCATTCACGGCCACCTTCTCTTGTGATTTACTGCACTTGTGATTTACCGCACTGCTCAACACAGAGTGTATGAGTGACACAGCAGAGGAAAAAATCATCTTCAGCAGGAAACTGGATCATAACTTTTGCTCAAAAGGGAGAATAACATAGGTGCCTTTGCTACATGAAGTGAAGCACACAGTTTTAGATTTTTGCAGGACCTGGATATGAACCGCACATATACACATTGCATAGATGAAATTCCCAGTATCCAATGGCAAAATGAAATGGTTAACCCTGTGAGAAAACTAATTCTACAGTCTGAAAGCACAATTTTCCATTCATCTTTTTGGATGTATACTTTTATCCCCGAATTTTAAATGTTTGAAGCATTATGTAATGCTTACTTTACTAAAAAATTAAATTCAATACATGGTTTTTAACAAAACAAAACAAGACAGAATCCCTCCCTGAGTTTTCTTCGTTTCTTTAAATTTGATGTGTTGTTACTCTTTGTCTACTAAGTCTAGAATTTTGTACATTAGGTAATTTTAAAAGCACTCAGCAATATAATCTTTACAGAATTAACAAAATGCCATGATACTGTCACTTGTCAGATCTGGATGGCCTTATATAGTATTTACTTGGCTACTGCATGTGACGTATTTGCTTTGAACAAAACATCTAACTTATTGCAATATAAGACAGGATTAAGAGGGTCATACTGATGGTGTGGAATCCACAGATCATTTCTTTAAAAATTCACATGCTATCTTTCCACCTAGTTTTTAATAGTAAAATTTTTGTTTGCTGCATTCACTTTTTACTTGACTCTGACTGCTAAAATTTAAACATCCTCTAAATAAATAAATACTATTGTGATGCATAATGCTGAGAATGGATTCACTTTCCACTGGGATATCATCTTCAGAATTATTACCTATTTTTTTATTGGAGGTTAAGATTTAAGGAAGTTAGAAATTAAATTTAAAAACCTTTATGAAATAGTTAAAAAGATAAATGTTATGAAACTTGTTGAAAATGTGTTACTCCATTAGATTCATATTTCAGGTAATTTAGTCACATTTCCATTCAGCTTCTTTACTAATCTGTTATGCTACACTGACATCAGAAATCATAGTACCCTCTATTTTCCACTGCTTATTTTTGTAATTTAGCTCCTAATAAATACCTCCATAATACAGTAGATTCGTTTATTACCATACTTTTCAAATCAAATTCTTGAAACTTACAGAATCCAGGAACATAAAACTTTATTAAATATTTCCTATTATGGGAAGATGACTTGATTACTGTAAGGTAAGTCTTTAATTTTCACATGTCAGTCAACATTTTTTCCCCCATGTACACTATTAACAGGTGTGTGGAAGCTTCGTTTAAAGGCTCATGACTGCAGAACCTTTGAAGTTCAGTTTTCTACAGCTCAGAATGAAGTGGGAGATGAGGATTTGTTGAACTAATCTGGTCAGTTAAAGTAGGAAAATTGCATAATGCAAGCTGCAAAGTGAATCATTTGGCTAGAATTATCTTGTTTGGATAACCCATCATATCAAAAAATTGAAAAAGCTCCATTTCACTGAGTGCATTCTGTGCTCAGCAAAAGGGCCTGAAGGCTAATTCACTTTTATTATTTTTAAAATGGAAGTTGACTTGTGGTGGGTGTTCTTATATAAATTTGTAAATCAACATTGGAATGAGAATTAAGATATACAACTACTTAAAATTCATATTATAACACAGGAGTTTATGATAAAATGTTAGAATTTAACATGAGAAATGCTCATTTTAGTCTCTGCAAAATATTCAAAATATAACAAGAAATTTTGAGAAATTATGGGTGCTAATCACTACATTATGGACTTTTAAGAACAACACTGTGTATTAATTTGAGACATAGTCAAGTTCTAATCATCCCTAAATTAAAGTTTCTTAAAAGGGAACAATTCTTTTGATTAGTAATTGGCCTTGTTTCTAATCTCAGCTGTCTCCACTAATCAACTGAGCCCATTTAGACACCCTGGGAATCTCTCCAGGCTTCAGTTTACTCAATTTTACAACAAAAATACTGAATCAAATGGTCTCTTAATGTTCCTTCCAGCTCTAACATGTTCTAATTCCAAGAACAAATATTGTAGAAGGTAGAAGGGGCCAGTGAAAATTTAAATTGTATTTCATAATAAGAGAAGAAAAAATGAGAAGAGTGAAGAGAAAAAAAGATGTAAAAAACGATTCCAGTGAGGGGCTGTCAAATTTTCAATTCAAATAAATTCTCAAAAGTTATAGATGCAATTCAAAAGTAATATCTCAGCTTGAGAGATTTAGACTATGTGCAGATGCAGTAAAAATATCTGTTCAATCTAGTTGAAAAAATAGTGATACAGACGGCTTTCCTATCCAACACTAAATAATTGGTTTAAGTTACTTGACTGGCTATTTCAGATTCTGCAGAATCGAAGTATAGACCCCGTCTCAGAGTTTGAGCTTCTAGTGAAGGCTGAGATCGCTCCTAGGAGTCCTTGCTTTCCTTATTACAAAAAGGCTGGGTTCTGTCTTTATGCAGAGGTCCCTTAACTGCAGACTGCCCAAACAGTGTTTTTACGTTTTTCCAGTGCCATCTTTACGTTACATCATATATCAAGGAGTAATGCAGTTTATGTAGATAATGCAAATTTCATCTTTGCTAAATCACAATCAGAGAAATGATTTCATTAAACTGTATTCTGTGGACCTTACTCAGCTGTCTTTTCACCTGTATCTTACAAACTCCCTACCCCGTTTAGCCCAGGAAGGCAGAAAGGGAAGAAAGAACGAAGAGGGTTGGCAGTAGTCCTAGCATTTAAATTCTTTTCTGGGAATGTATAAACTAAGATCTATTGGAGTTCAATTTTTTGAGGTCAAAAGAAGAGATGCAAACAGGACACATTATTCTCTTTCAGAATATTTCAGTAAAGCGCTTCAAACAACAACAGCAACAACAAAATATTCCTGAATTCTTGGTTCCTTTGCTCAACATCTCCAAAATTTCCACCCTTTATTTATTAGTCCCGCTTTTTTTTTTCTTATTTTATTATGAACCATAAGTTTATAATCTGGCACATAATTATTTATCTAAAGATTTACAACAATTATACACTTCAAATTTTACTGTAACTTGGGAATCTTACGTTATAGTATCCCAAATCTCTGAGTTCCACTTGTAGTTCTTGCTCTGGCGAGTCATGTAAACTTTCCTAAGAAGTATACTTAGTTACCTTGGTCATAGTTTAGTTATCTGTGAGAGGGCTACATCAAACTAGAAGTTTTCTTTGGTCACCTTCAGTGCTACCTTTCACTGATTCATTTTTTAAAAGACACAGCAATCTTGGGTTCAGTAGCCTAGTCTGAACTAGCATTTGTGATCTTCTGTACTTTAAAAAGCTGCTTACAAATGTTGAAATGAAAATCTTTCCAGCATCCTATTGCCTATTTGTTTTTGTTTTGTTTTGTTTTGTTTTTGCTCTTATCGTTTGAACATTAAGGTCCCTTTTGGAAAATCATGCCTGACCGATAGGCTTCAGTAATATGGTCAATATTAAAAAAGAAAATAATATATTCGGGTCTTCCTCAAAATTACTATTTAGGAAATTAATAGAAATAATTACAGAATATGAAAATTCTGATTATTGATCAATTATTATCTCCATCTACCTAAAAAGTGTTGGCCTTTTGAAGAAAAGATAGTTCGATCACAGAAGCCAATTGCTGAATTTTTCATAACACGTTATGCCATTTAAAATTTCTACATATTCTACAATCCAAATGACTCAATTGGACAGTGCCTCCTTTTACAAAAATGACATTTGATACAATAAAACTCCTAATAGATTATGTCATTACAAACATCTGGGTATGAGGCAGCAATAGTCTGGAGAGTTTCTAATGCATGTAAGTGTCAATATCATAATATTAAATTATTAAAATAGCTGAGAGTATTTAATGGCCAAGTTCTCTATACAACCATCAAAGCCAAACTCGTATTTTATATGAGTGAGGTCTTGTCACCTTATTCTTCCAGTAGCTTTGGGATAATTAGAACTGTTCATGTGACCATATTTAATGATATATGAAGAAATTATTTGCTCTATGTACTAGTGTAAGTTATAGCCACAAGTATTACAAAATTTCATCACATAGTTAAATAATATTATATTTCTATTCCTCTTAAACAATCATAACTAATGAATGACCTCATTAAACACTGTTGTTCATATTGTTTTATACTGCAGTTCACTAATTGTTTAACTATCAAAGACCAAAGACTGGGATTTCTGTTGTATTTAACTCTACAACACTGCTGCTTCCACTAATTTATCTGAATGAATAGGGGTCTTATAATTATAACATGAGGTAGTAAATGTCCTCCTTGCAGGATTCTGAACTGTAGACTTTAATTAATCCTTTTGTTTTAGAAGGAAAACTTGGTTAGTGTGGTCCATGTATTTTCTGTACATGCATAATAAACTCCTCAGTATTCATAAAACCAGTATATAAAGACTATATCCCAAAGTGGTTCCAGGATGTATTTACTAAACTGAGTTTAAACTTTCATTGCTTCCTAAAAATTCTTTAAAGAACATAATTAATTTGAAACTTTTAGAACCAGAGGGCTATTTTTTAAGTGTGCATGTGGCTCCGCTCTTTGAGGAAGTCAATGAAAAATATTAAAGGAAATAAGGTATAATGAACTGTGATTCTTTTTGTTTTTCCAGTCTCAATGTCTCATTTGTTTCAATATTTATAAATAAATGCCAAACAGGGTTAAATATGTGCAAAGACATTCACAAACAATGGAGATGTGTAATTTGGAGTTTGTCTTGTTATTTATACAATTCTTTAAATCAGGTCCACTATTCATTTATTTTGTTTTGTAACTTTCATGTAAATGTTCTCTTGTATATATAGATATATTAAAAATGGAACTATTTTCTTATACATACTATGCAATATGTTTGTAAAATTGCAATATTACCAAAATCACAAAAGCTGTGCTTTTGTTCTCTATCTTGCTTTATGTAAATCAATCTTTTTCTATTTAAATGGACTGTCTGTCCTATAAACTGTAGATAACATATCTATTCACAAATCGGTCTATTGTATCTTTTGTTTAGTTTGGAGTGGAATGGGATATACTTCTTTTGGGGAAAATACAGCAAAATTTTGGCAGTTGAAAACTTTTTTTTCTCAGAAATGAGACCTTTTGAAGCATGCAATGAGCTCATATAATTTAAGATCTTTCTTGTAATTCTTGTATTTTGTCCTAATTTTGGTGCTACTGTGTAACCATGATTAAATGTGATAGTCAAAACAAAGAGGATCAAAATTCATATGCTATCATTTTATTTATTTTATTGACAAAAAGCTTCAAAGAAGAGGGGTATGA